TATATATATAGGCCCATAGATCTACAAGATCTCTTGCAAATTGTCTGAGTAAGAGCAGGCTGGAGGAAAATAATTATAAACTGAGAGTAGTTGTACACAAAGTTAAAATCTGCAGGAGTTTATATCCAACCCTCAAACACACCTGAACCAGATTATTAAGGCTTTGGGGTTCATTAAAAAGTTAGACTTTACAGAAAAGATTGTCTGTGGAAAAATTAGTTTTAGAGGTAGCATTCCTGCATTACAAGAGAATAATTTCTGGAAAAAAACTAGAGAATTAGTTCTATTTGCAGAACGTAGAAAGGTTGCCAGGCTGTGAACCTTTTTAATTGTATACCTGGAATTCAAAGTAAAAAGGCCAGGACCCTCAGTGCGGGTGTCCCGTGAGAAATTGACCTTGTGGACGGGACACTTATCCCCATTGCCAACCCATCAGCGCTCGACCAGGCCTTCATAATATATATGAACATGATAATATAAATGACCCTTTCAAAAGAAAGCGAAGCCAAACATCCAGTTAATGTAGCTGGTTATGGCAGAATACTTTTGGCCATAAGGTTGCAGGTTCGCACACTTGCAAAATTATACATACATACATACATACACATATATAGACCTATATATCTGTGATATCCAAGGTTGTATTTAGTTTGGAATTTGGATTATTTTATAAATGCAGTTAGCCCGATGAATGCAATTTCTTATATTTCTAAAGTGCTTCTTTATAATGAACATCACTTTCTTAATACTTTACTCGCTGTATAACTTAATTGTATACCTGGAATTCAAAGTAAAAAGGCCAGGACCCTCAGTTATCAACAGTGCATAGAAAAGGTTCTATATTTTGTCCTACGAATGAAATTTAGAATGTGTGTAAGTACCAAAAAATCGGTTACACTTTATTTTAAGGTGTCCTTGTTACAGTGTAATTATACATATAAGTACTGAGTAATATTAATTAACTACATGTACTTACTATATGGTTAGGATTTGGGTTTGGCTTAGGGTTACTTGCATGTAATTATGTATAATTCATTGTTATTATAATAGTAAGTACATGTCACATCATGTGTAATAAGGACACCTTAAAATAAAGTGTTACCAAAAAATATGTATTTATTAAACGTGCGCACGCGGTTCTTACGCACACCTGTAAGTTGATAAATCCCACATGTCCTTAAGCACCATGCTCGATCACATTCATTGTCATTTGCATTCAGTAACGCCTCCAATGAACCATAGCTTTAAGGTGACAACACCTCCCTTTATAAATCAGGTGAATGTATATGTCCTCACCAAAACCATGGCAAAGAAAGTGGTACCGACTGAGAAGCCATTCTGTGCTCTCACTAAACAGATCAGCGCTGTCTTTGAAAACACATGGTTTGCCAGATCTTCCAGCAAAGCGAGATCAGCCGTGACACTATAGCTACTTCTCAAATGACTTCCCAGCTGTCTTTTATAGCTTTTCACACCAATTATGCAAATATCTAGCTTGAACTATGAAATTACTAATTGAGTACTTGCAATTAAAGGACACAGGAAACACGCGGCAACACTTTCTTTTTGTAGTATCACCATCCTACCACTAGAATGCATAAGCATGCTCAGAGTTGTGCTTATATTTACACACATTACGTATAAGTACAAGTTGGTAGACTTTGCGTGAAACTGTTCTTACGCACTCATTATGCACACATCTGTGCGTACGCAGTGTAGATAAATGAGGCCCCTGGAGTGTTGAAACTCACTTCTGCTTCTGGAGATCTACCAGTCTACGCAGGGATCCATCTATCTGGTTTAGTTCCAACCCTACTCTAAAACACCTGCTGCAAGAGAAGCCAGCAAGAGAAGCCACTAATTAGCTGTCGCAGGTGCGTCTGATTAAAGCTGGGACTGATTTCAGCAGGATCTCCAGGAGAAAGACTGAGCGCTTCTGATTCAGACCATATTCTATCTTATTTATCATACTGTCTTTGCTGAGACGAACAGTACAGTGGAGTTATTCATTACACAGCAGCAAATGTTAATGAATGTAAGACTATTAGTGTCTTCTTTTGTCTCTATAAAACCTAGTTAGCTGCCGACCTACACGATAAGTGATTATGTGAATAATTACTTTGGAGCCACTGGAAAATGACGTCATGTCAACACTGATTAGCTGATGATCACACAGTCTCAAACCATTCACTAGTGAAACATATACTATAATATAATAAATTATCTGCAATTTATGCAACTTGTAAACAATTCAGAAACCGTTGAATGTCCATCGATGGAAAAAAATGCTTCTGTCTTCAGAATGGCGTAGTTACAGCATCTACCAGCAGGGGCTAGCCGTCAGTGCTAACTAGCCAAACCCTGATCCCTTAATAGCTCTTTTTAGATTCCTCCTATGTGACTACTCTTATCAAGCTGCTTGAAATCTCAAATGAGCCTATTTCTGAGTGTCATAGGTGCATTTTATGTTGTTTAGGTAGGCAGCTCACCAAGTCTGAAACATGGCTTTTGTCTGCAGGCAGCCTAGATAATGTACCTACCTCTATGCGAACACAGGGGGACACGTCCCCCGCGTCCCCCGCGTAATCTACGCCCCTGTACCTGGCAGTATTTCTAGTTAAAAGCAGATCTGCTGAAAGCTTGTCAGGCGGGTCGGTTTGTATTATGCTGTCTTTTTCCTTATGTTGATGGCTTAGGGCTTCTTTTTTGCTCTTTAAACTGCTGATCCAAGTACAAACACAGTAGTTGAGAATGATTTCGCGATTAAAAGGGAGAAGAGAACAGCTTCTGACATTTTGTCTGACAACTCTTTTCTGCTTTTAAACGGTGCACAGAAATCGTGGTTCTTTCACAGCTCTCGAAATACGAAAAATGCCACCGGAGGCATGTTTGTGTTAAATGCCGCAAAGCACAATATCATTTCAAGGTTGACATTAGCCTGATATTTGGCAGATTATCTCAAAATAAGACTGCATATTTGGAGAACAGTCTGAAATCATGCCTGAAATACTCTGGAACTAAAAATGGGTTGCTGCAAATCCCATTAATATTTCAATTTAATTACTTCTACAATCAACGCTGATTCACCCTCACAGTTGACTAAAATCACTTAATCAATTTAGATCCAGTGTGGATCCCAAATCAACTTTAATTACACAGCCTCAGCCTTTATTCCCCAGCTTCGGTTCATGTATCTTCTCAATGATGCTAAACAAAGACGACTTGGATGGGTGGGTGGTTCAGTTGTATCTGTGCTGCACCATGGATGGAAATGCAGAGGTTCACATCTTGCTCAAGGCATTTCCTCTGACTGTTGTCATTAGGCCCGTCTGCATGGTATCTGCTGTCTGCTCCAAGGATGTCATGTGGTTCCCCTGTGCTACACTATATTGCCTGTGAATAATAAGAGAGAAAGTTGAGATTTGCAGGGGAAAAGGCAGCTGTCTGCACAATCTAATGGAGCATTCATGTCATATTGGAATTACAGTAATTTTAGACCAATAAAAAAGTAAAAATCTTTGTTGAAGCTCATAACTTCATGAAAACTCCGGCTTAAAAGTTTGCTCCCCAAGATTTTCTTTCTTACGAAAAACTTTTAAGATATCTTGAAAATCTTTTAGCTGTGTGGGTTGCAAAAATTTCAAGCTCCAAAAACAAAATAAAGTCATTGTATATGTTCTGACTCTATGAATTTCATTATAGAGCTGTCATTAGCTGGACAAAAACAGACCGTTATGCTGCAAACTTGTATTTATCATATACTTTTAATTTATTACCACAATCATAAACGTGCAAGTTTTACCATTTACTGCACTTTTTGTTCTTCTCTGTATTTTACTACAGTGGCGAATGAATCAGAAGTCTCACACAGTCACATAATATAGCTTACTTCTGCATTGCAAATTAAGGTGGATAGAGTTCAACAGTACAGAGACTTTTCACTCTGCTTGTCTGTGTTGACCGCTCTCCAGACTATGCCCGCAGTGCCGAGTTGAAGTGGAATGGGGTGCGGATTTGCCTGGAGCAAGGAGAGAGTTTTGTTTAAAGTCAGTGTCTGTGTTTTTTCTCAGGAATTGAAACGGAACTGTGTGATTTTGCCTGCAGCCAGGAGCCGTTTTTTGAAATCAGCTTCTGTGTTTTCTGTCACTCCATGATGTTTTGGACCAGCGGTTCTCAGTTCCGGTCCTGGCGACCCACTGCTTTGCACATTTTGTATGTCTCTCTTATCTAACACACCTGATTTAGATCATCAGCTCGTTAGGAGAGAAAGCCGTGAACTCAACTGAGTGTGGCTGATAAGAGACAAAAGCTGTGGCTGCATTTGAAGACTGAATGCATCACAGCGGAGCAACGAAGGCTCTCCAAATTCGAAAACTCCTTCAAATGCATTGTCGGAATGCAAGCTTCATTTGCTGGAGTGAAGCCGAAAGTATACTTCCCTTGTCTACGTTCCAAACATCTGTCCTGCCTCCGCAAGCAGCATATGGAGGTGGGAAGGCAACAAGGCATGTCTAAATCCACTGATTGTGTCACATACTGACTACTGATATACCCTCATATGATACTTTATATATACTTTGCTGCCTATGATTACCCACAATCCTGTACATTCAATTCTGCAACAGTTGAGCTAAAAAAATAAAGATGGCACCTGAAAATTGCGTGTATATTGTGCATTATATTGTGGTTTTTTTGAGTCACAGATCGGACTATTTTTTCCGGATAAGCAAGAAAAAAAAAAATTTAAAGCACAGAGAATGACAATGCCGTGAAGGGTTTTTGACATAGGCTAATTTTATGTGTATGTATACGCAACTCTGTATTTCCGCGCTGTCTGAAACACGTCTCTATGCTTGTGTGCGCTTTGATTGTGTGCGAGAACAGTGCGTGAGTAACGAATTGAGCTCTTTTTCGTTTCTTCTTCTTGTGGTTTAAAATTACTTGTACGTGTAAATTGGCAAATTAATCTGAGAATCACGTGCGTGCCGAACGGTAGGGTCTCATCCGTACGTATTACGGATCAACTGCGATCCGTTTAACTCCTAATATGTGATCAGAACAATCTTTCATTTACTTATTTAACACGAAATTGTCAAATTGCTACTCCATATCAGTCGCATACAATGAAAATACAGAATAATTAGAACAATCATTAACATAAATAAATAACAGAGTGTCATATCTATGCACATTTTTCCCAGAACGTTCTTGCAACCCGGTAGCAATTCTTCCACGGCCGGGTAGTGGGTCACGACCCGGTGGTTGGGGACCTCTGGTGTAGGGGACCTAAAAACCTTGGAACACACTTCTGCATCATCTTCCCGATCCAGTTAAGAAGGGGCCGTCATTGCACAATTAAACCTGCATAAAGAATCATGGGAGCTAAGTGTCCATCAGTCGTACCCTTCATTCCAAAGGGCCCTTTTAAGTGGCCGGTTTGAGCACTTCAGTTTGGAATGATCCCTCAATATGGCAGCCATGATTGTTCTCACTCTGAAGTGCCCTTCAGAGGCAGATTTATTTGGAATGCAGGGTCTATGTTGTTGTAGATCATTAAACTATTATGCTGCCCCATAAGTCTGTCTGAAATCAGTTTTGAAGGGGTGCCTTTGTGTGCAAACGCTGCCTGCATTGCCTGTCATTGCCTGAGAGGGCAGCAAGACAGCAAGTCAGCTGCCTAAGCTTTCGGATGTAGCCACCGAATAGCAGGGGTGTCCAGTCCTGCTCTAACCTACGCTGCATTGTTTAGCTCCAATATGAATTAAACACACCTGAATCAGGTGATCAATGTCTTCAGAATTACCAGAACCCAGGGGCATTTCTAGCCTTTCATCAGTCCAGGGGCACAGGCCCGCCATCAAAAAAGTGTTCCCATATTTAAAAACTATTTTTTGATAGTGTTTTGGGATATAACTGGATATAAATAGTCTTCACCAGAGTTGTTCACATCTAATCCGTTTGATATATTAGATCAGATTTGGCAAACATCGGTCCGGAAGACCCACAATCCTGCAGAGTTCAGCTCCAACCGTAATCAAGCACACCTGAACAAGCTAATCAAGAGGCTTGTTCGAGATGCGTCCGCGCTGCGCAGACCGATCAGCGTATGACATCAAAGTACCACGAGAGTGATTGGAGTGCAGACGACTCTTTAAGCTTTTGAATCGCTCTCGCGGTACTTTGATGTCATAACGGTCTTCGCAGCGCCGATGCATCTCGAACAAGCCTAAGGTCTAAGGGTTACTAGAAAGCTATAGGCAGAGTTTTTATCAAGGTTGGAGCAAAACTCTGCAGGACTGTGGCTCAGAGAAAATGATTCTCAGGGTGATGTATGAGAGAAGCAGCCAGAGACTCACCGCGCCTTCAAAAAAAATCCAACTGAAGTGCGTGGACCAAAAAAGGTTACCCAAAGATGAAGAGCTTGAAAAGAGTCCGCACATTCAAACATTAAAGCATCACAAGCGAGATGAGAACGATATATGCAATTTACTGAATAAAACAAGGCAAACGTTTCGGTCACATGTTGACCATTTTCAATGCCAAGCTCAAGGTGATGTATGGAAATCTTCGTTTAACTGACAAGGATTTATAGGTAATATTTTACTTGGGCACAGTGGTATTTCCGTGGGGCTTGTGAACCAGTAAAAAGGGTCTAGTGACGCCCCTTCTACAAGTGTGCCTCACACGTCCTGAAAAGAGAAGCCAAAACATTTCAGTTGCCCCCGGTGGCTGGACTAGGTATAGGTCATAAACCCCGCCCTCTCTGTGTAAACCAATGGGACGTAAGCCAAACTAAATAATCACATTACACTTAAAATCTAAAAACTCCCTCATTTTTAGATAATTGATGCTATAAAAACAGGGCCGTCATGTGTGATCATGTGTGTCGTCATGATTGGTGGGACTTTGATACCGCGGCTCTAAACGAATCAGTGCTGTGCAGACTCAAGCTCCAAACTAATCACTACTGCACAGTCTCGGACTCCAAATTTACATGTATTTACATTTATTCATTTGGCAGACACTTTTATCCAAAGCGACTTACAGTTGAGGAATACAACAAGCGATTTATCATAAGATGGCAAGAAACGTGAGAAGTGCCCGTTATACAAGGTTTCAGTCATTGTTCAGTATTGTAAAAGCTAGGACAGGAAGGGATAAAGGATTATAAGAGAATAAAAAAAGTGAAGGCATAGATTTTTTTTTTTTTTTCTTCTTAAAGATTGTAAGGGATTTGGCTGTCCAGAAAGAGTTAGGTAGGTCATTCCACCAACAGGGTTCGGTGAAAGAAAATGTCCTTGAGAGTGATTTTGTGCCTCTCGGCGATGGGACCACGAGCTGCCACTCCTTTACCGACTGCAGACTTCTGGAGGGGATGTAGACGCATAGGAGAAAGCGGAGGTAGGAGGGTATGGAGCCCGTGGCTGTTCTGTAGGCAAGCACCAATGTCTTGAACTTGATGCGAGCTGTGACTGGAAGCCAGTGCAGAGAGATGAGAAGCGGTGTGACTCTTAGGCTCATTGAAAACAAGACGTGCTGCTGCATTCTGAATCATTTAAAGAAATCTGATTGCACATGTTGGAAGTCCAGCTAAAAAGCATTACAGTAGTCCAGCCTAGAAATGACAAGTTGAAAGCTTAAATCCTGTTAAATCACATAGTTTGACATTTTTTGTCAAATACCATACTTCCAACTCATCGATGCAACTTTGTTCATTCTTGAAGAGAACATTTGCCTGTTTGGTGATTAGATTAACTGACTGCTGTCTTGAAATGAATGCGACACGTCTGGTGTGCGATACCTGTGCGTTGTCCAAGACAGCGCGACGCTTCTCATCCGGTGTGTGACCCCCTTTAGACTGGCTCATTTTATCAGATTAGCTCGCTATGAAAGCATTGCGGCTTGTTGATTGTCTTGCGCCAGAGCACGAGCATGCATATCCCAACTAACATCCACATGCCAGATGCTATACTATGCACATCGACTGAAACTTTTTGAAGTATTAAATCACTCATTTATTGCAAACCATAATTTCGATATATCATGCAGCCCTAATCTTGACTACAGAAAACTCATTACCATGACAATAAAGGACTTGCAAACTCAAATGAGAGTAAATTGCATTTATAGCAAGTAATTTATCCATATTTCTATCTATCTATCTATCATAGATAGATAGATAGATAGATAGATAGGGAAGTCGTGGCCTAATGAGAGATACCTGTTAGTGAGTCGGACTCGTAACCCAAAGGTTGCGGGGTTCGAGTCTCGTACCGGCAGGGATTGTAGGTGGGGGGGAGTGGATGTACAGCGCTTTCTCCCACCTTCAATACCATGACTGAGGTGTCCTTGAGCAAGGCACCGAACCCCCAACCCCCAACTGCTCCCCGGGCGCCGCAGCAAAAATGGCTGCCCACTGCTGCCCACTGTGTGTGTGCACTTTGGATGGGATAAATGCAGAGCAATAATTCCGAGTATGGGTCACCATACTTGGCCACATATCACTTCACTTCACTTCACTATCTATCTATCTATCTATCATCTATCTGTAGATACCTGGCAATACAATTTTGTATCAATATTTGGGTCATGATATTGTGATTCTTTGAGTTTAGCTATTCAAAACTGATATATTGAAATTTTTAATGCACTTTTGTCTTTTTCATCTGCATTGGATTTTGGAGTTTATTATATTCTCGGCTCGTTCTTCGACTCTTCGTATACAGTAGTACCTGACACTGCAACAGCTCCAGTGAGAGCAGAGCCTCAGCAGGTAGCAAACCTCTGTATTAGATTATATAAAGTGAGGATGTAGTGAAATAGACAGTTTGTGAAATGTTTCACATGACCCATTGTTTTCTCTGGAGGAAGTGCTTACCGTACACACGTCTCTCTACAGCAGTGGGTGGCTGACTGGGTGAGCTGCAATCACTGCATCTATACTAAATCACAAAACCACTGGACAGTTTTTCAGATTGGGGAGTCTGGGCTTCTCTATGAGAAGGGTGGCATGAATATGTGTTTTTGAACATATGTGAGTGTTTTGGAGCGTGATCAGTGATATTGGTGTGTTACTCGAAGAATGAAGCTGTGACTGTGACGTCCACTGAGTCCAGATGCCACAGAAATCAGTTTTAGGAATGCAGTTCATTTTTCTTTTTCTTTCTTTTTTTTTTTTTTTTTGCTTAAACTACTCTGGGTTTAAAACCATAGGCCTACTACTAATTACATACCATACTAATTACGCTGACGCTTTAAAGGCTTACACTTCACTTATTAGAGGTTCAGCCCCTTTGGGAAACAGTGGGCACAGTGGTGATATTTTAAGAGTCAACCTTGTTCCTGTTGCTCAAACAGTAGCATATGGCTTGATCAACATCAAGGTCGTGGGTTTGATTCACAGGGAACTCATAAAATGTATAGTATCTTGACAATGTGTGAGCATTTATTTAGCCTAAGTGAGACATTTTTAAAGATTAGCACATCAGTGCAGATAGCTGTAGCTGCGGTAATATTATATAACACTGAATCTATAGGCATAATAAATAATTGTGATGTGGTTAACAAAACACCCCAGAGTCAAATGAATCTACTGCATTTATCATGTAGCTTATATACAGCTAGAACAGAGTATCAAGGAGCACACACACACACACAAACAGTTTGATTTAGGAAGAGGGTTAAAGCTGAAGCAGAGTAAAGAATAAAAGCATGAAGGTATAGCAGTATTTGATATTCCTACAGTCTTAAGGAAACAACAATTTCTTAATTCTAACACCTTTGAATTAAAAAGGGGTAGATGATACTTTATGTATTAGTTAATGAGACTAAGTTTGATTCTTGCACATCGTGTTTGAAGGAGAGACCTGATGCAACTCATTGAGGCTCCAGTTGAATTTTGCTGAAGTTTTGTTGATGAGAGAGAACTTAGGAGTCCTTCGAAAACTTCTAACTCGGCATACTCATCTTCACTTCAAAGTTTACCTTTTGTCTAGGCAGGGTGTTTTGCATATGAAATTGGATTGGGTGTTAAAAGAAGAACCTTCAACATTCGTATAATACTATTGTGTCACAGAGTTAGCTGAATGTAATGTAAATGAGCATTCAGGATATTCAAAGTGCAGCTACTAAACATGCTACAAGTTCTGAAGAAAAGTTCCCAGTCAACAGACTTCTCTAGCAGTCACTAATGGCATGTTGATGGCAATTTAATTCTGCTACAGTTACTACTGGCAGCTGATATAAATAATTGTAATTAATCATAATTAATTGTAATTATTTATATACATTTCCCTTTTGAACTAATTTGCTACATGATGTTGCTAAAAAGAACATTATTTTGTGTATTTGGTGTAATGAAATGTGTTTATGCAGTTTAAGGTTCAAAAAACACATTATTTTCCACATACTGTAAATTATTGTTTCTCCTCTATGCCCCGCCTTTCTGAAACGCGTCGATTTTTACAAAGCTCATCGGTCTGTGTGCTCTGATTGGCCAGCTTATCCAGTGCGTTTTGATTGGCCGAATACCTCAAGCATGTGACGGAAATGTTACGCCCCTCACCATATTGTGATGCACGACGAGACAAAAACATAAAAGCCATTATAATAATTAACATAATTACGGATTATAATGACTTGTACTGTCTTTTTACGCGTTGCATTGCATCGCGCCGCGTAAACAACATAAAACCATGTCTGCATTTGTGATCGGAGAAATTACAAACTACAAACGCTACTCTACACTGCTCAAAACTCGACCATCTGGAGGAAGTTAGAGCACTCTCTGACAATGAATAGATTTGGACAATAACACAGTACATACTGAAGGTGAAATAGGTTAATGAGTTATGTAGGATTCTTAATTTTCACGGTACGTGGTCACGTCTATTTCTCCCATAAGAATCGCATTGCAAAAACTTTGTTTGGCAATATCATTTTTTTTCAATCACTTCTAGTTCTGCTTGATGGAACAAAAGTATCTAAATCCACTGAGCACAGGTGAGTAAATGCTATTCAGATGTTTAATTACAGTTGTGTTCTCATCCGTCCCCAGAGCACAGCCCTCCTTACAGCCGTAACAATTGCATTTAGAGTGGTAGAAATAATGTCAGAACAGTTTAGGATCCTCAAGACTGAAAACCAGCAGCAATAACAATAGACATGACATTTCAGAAATCAGCAGTATGTGTAAGTTATGAAGATTATTTGAATCAGGACCAGAAAGTTATGGGAATAATCAACTTGCATCAATTGCAATCGACCATCTGGAGGAAGTTAGAGCACTCTCTGACAATGAATAGATTTGGACAATAACACAGTACATACTGAAGGTGAAATAGGTTAATGAGTTATGTAGGATTCTGAATTTTCACGGTACGTGGTCACGTCTATTTCTCCCATAAGAATCGCATTGCAAAAACTTTGTTTGGCAATATCATTTTTTTTCAATCACTTCTAGTTCTGCTTGATGGAACAAAAGTATCTAAATCCACTGAG